ATAGCCCTCGTGTAGCTTTGCGCGAAATTCAAAAACAAACAAACAAGTTTATCACTAAATAAATTCACTCACCCATTCAGATTTATTATCGTCATCGCTGTTGAATCCAACGGGATACGTTGCTACTGTGACCATGCCAACAATGGAGATCAAGCCATTAAATAAACCTAATATATTGAGAATTTTGATAATCTTGTTGTTTCTTTGTGTCATTTCAATTACAATGAAGTATCGGAGAGTCATTGTCAGTAATCCTGTGAAACAAAGTATATCAGGGGAACATTGTTAACAATTATGCAAAATAATGTGTCAAAGAATCATTATTAGTAAACATAATGGTCAATAAATGAAACGACTGAGAATTCAAAGTTCTGATTTATTTATTAAACGTATCGGATTAGTGCCTTCATCAGAGGTCAACATTTTCTGTAATGAAATATATCACTCAAAATAAGACCTTAATTCTATGGATTAAACCAAACACAAGAGTATATCTTGCATGTGATCTTTATTATTACAAAGTCCGTGTTACATACGTAAACAATATAATATAAATACTATAAGGTAAACGAGAAGTCGAATCTATCATTCGATTTACCATTGTTATACCGGTTTCGGTGGATTCCAACTCTCACTAGTAATGCTTGAGTAAGACCAGACTTCATGTAGTAGTGGAGTGTATATGTATATTGCTTTGAAATGTCTTTTACTCACACAATAATTATATTTTTATTTAGGAATTTCAAGAATATGCAGCATTAATGACAATGTTTGTTCTTGTGAATTATTCAGCCAGACAAAGTGTTTAAAATACTTTTAAAAAAAGGCAAATGTGAAACTCAATCATTATCACTTGTCGCTGAGTTATACCGGTTTCGGGTAATTCCACCTTTACTTGCAACTGAAATAAAATATTTTCTGATTGTACTTAGTCAGCCAAATGACAACCTACTCGTAATGTCTTTAACCAGGTACGATTGAAAATAATATCATTCTATCCATTATTGAATGATTCAATCAACTGTGACAAAAGACCTGATGTCTGTTTCATTTTACAAACTTGTCCAATCGTCTTTTCTATTGTTCTGAAACCAGAATTGGGGACAGAGTTTCTTTTGTAGCAGACATATTCTCTACACATTCCACCACTATCTATAGACTCAGAATACAGATGTCTTTGAACAGATTGTCAAAGAAAAAATACTGGCTAAAGAATCTCCTTCTAGACGGGCATCAAATGTGATACTTCTTTGAAAGTCAGAAATAGCCTTGCTCTTACCCATTGTATTGAGAACTAACCATGATATGATCACATCTATGTTATTATAGGGCTCAAGTAATTACTTAACAGTCACATAATAACTCTACTTTGCATATTAAACTGAAAATAGTGAGCTACAAATGTGTTTAGATAAGCTAGGGGTCCTAATATATGAGCTGGGCCTGGCATGGCTTGATGGTTAGAGCACTCGACTCGCAACCATTGGGTCACGGGTTCAAATCCCGTTATTGAATATGATCGACCCTTCAGCTGTGGAGACGTTATAATGTGACGCTCACCCCTACTATGTGTTGCTATAGAATAGCCCAAGTGTTTGCAGTTTCTGGTGTTGACTAGCAGCCGTTCCTCTGGTCTATCACTTCAAACTTAGAGACGGTCAGCGCAGATAGCCCTACATTAGTTTTCTCGAAATTTAACAAATGAACAATAAACGAGACAATCAGTATACATCCTGCTGATATTAGGATTTAGAATTAAGAAGTAAAGTGCGTAAACATATGAAAATAAACCAAATTTATTTTCATAATTATTGTAGAAATACTTATTTGCTTGATTCAGAGCTCAAATTGTCGTAAAAATTTACAAAACGCAGTTTAAAACTGTTCTTATATCTGTATTTCTAGATACTTACAATAGATAAGCTGCTTGGACAAAGTACGTATACTTCAAACAGTTAATCACGCTGAGTATCTTACCTAATAAAGCTCCCAAGAACAGAAATATTCCAAACACCCCACTTTCGGGAGGATATCCGCCCGCCTCACTAAAAAAAGCAAGAAATTACAAAAATGTTTGAACAAATGTAAGTGTAAAACAGTACACAATATTTTCACTGTTACAGTTATAATGAATATACATTATAATAGAAAATGGTAGGTATGATGGATGGATGCCGGTGTAACACTGTATGTTTTTTATTTGTTCTTTTGTATTTAACAAGCGTCCTCTGACTTAACTAGACTCTCTTTGCTAAACCGCTCTCAACTAGTTAATTCCTGGACTTTGTTGTATTTGCTCTAAACCGCTCTCAACTAGTTAATTCCTGGATTCTGTTGTATTTGCTATAAACCACTCTCAACTAGTTAATTCCTTGGTTTTGTTGTATTTGCTGTAAACCGCTCTCAACTAGTTAATTCCTTTATTTTGTCGTATTTGCTCTAAACCGCTCTCAACTAGTTAATTCCTTTGTTTTGTCGTATTTGCTCTAAACCGCTCTCAACTAGTTAATTCCTGGATTCTGTTGTATTTGCTATAAACCGCTCTCAACTAGTTAATTCCTTGGTTTTGTTGTATTTGCTGTAAACCGCTCTCAACTAGTTAATTCCTTGGTTTTGTCGTATTTGCTCTAAACCGCTCTCAACTAGTTAATTCCTTGGTTTTGTTGTATTTACTGTAAACCGCTCTCAACTAGTTAATTCCTGGATTCTGTTGTATTTGCTATGAACCACTCTCAACTAGTTAATTCCTTGGTTTGTTGTATTTGCTGTAAACCGCTCTCAACTAGTTAATTCCTGGATTCTGTTGTATTTGCTAAGAACCGCTCTCAACTAGTTTATTCCTGGATTCTGTTGCATTTGCTAAGAACCGCTCTCAACTAGTTTATTCCTGGATTCTGTTATATTTGCTGTAAACCACTTTCAACCTGTTAATTCCTGGATTTTGTTGTATTTACTGTAAATCGCTCTCAACCTGTTAATTCCTGGAGTTTGTTTGTATTTGCTGAAAACAGCTCTCAACTAGTTAATTCTTGGATTTTGTTTTATTTGCTGTAAACCGTTCTCATCTAGTCAATTCGTGGATTCTGTTGTATTTGTTGTAAACCTCTCTCAACTAGTAATTTCTTGTATTTTGACATACATTTTTCAGAATCCAGCATATTATATGAGGAATCGAATGAACGATGTAGGGCAATCCTGAAAGAACGAACTTATGGGGGCGATTTTTTTTTGCTGAAAACTGTTTTCTTGCCATCAGTTGTTTTAATGGAATTTCACTGCTTTTCTTCAAATATCAGTCGTACCGGAATGAAATGCCAAAATCTCCAGTTTCGTAGCTGACCTGCAAGTGCAAATTGCAAAATTTCGGAACGTAACCATCGTAGCAGGTGTGGATGGGATCACGTCGGGATGCTCGTCAACGAAAAATTAATCTCTAAAAGAAGTTAATTCAGATTTATCTTTGACAAAGATAACATACATATAAACACCCGAAGCGAAGAACAATACCCCGAGTGGGATTTTCAAGGAGATTCCTGAAGAGATCCCCATAATCACGAAAAGAAGAGAGGATGATGGCGGAAGGACAATAAACAGTGTTGGCGAGCTACTTAACATATTCGGCTTGACTTGACTGATTACCATCACCTAAACCTGCTCGACTTTAGCACTGTGTACCTGTTTACCTGTACAACATGTCGTGCTCTACCCATACCTGGAGTTTATTTGTGCTTTTCTGGATATCTATCTACATTTTGCCGGGCACTCTATCCATTTAAAAATGTATTTTAATTTTCTCTAGTCGGAGATCGCTTGTTAATAATAATGAAAATATTACAGTAATATACACACACGCATATAGATACATATATGTTACTATACATTTTATTTGATTCAATAATACTGGATTTAAAAAAATGATCATACACTTACGGTTGGTTTTTCTTCTAGCACAGAACCGTTATTATATCATTACTTTAGTTATATTAATCTTTGATAATTACTTTCTTTACCATAGTAACGAGTGTTATAACTTTCATTTTTAGGTCTTATTATTTTTATTGAACTTTCTAGGCCTTATCGTGGTTCCTTTCTGGCTTTTATTTATTTATTACTTTATGTAGGTGGCACTGTGTATTTGTTAAGTATCAGAGGTTAGTTAATGTAAGAGTGTTAGTATTAGACACACCACATAATATCCTCAGATTATTTTTTTCTTTGTAGTACATTTAACATTGATATATTTTCATGGACAGTTTGTGTATTATTTAATTTTCTTATTCATTATTTTGCATCTTCATAATCATTTGTTTTGGTTGTGCTATAGGAAAATTACTGCTAATAATTCCACACAATTTAAACAATAACATGCATTGTTGTAAATTTGCCACAGACGTTAAACGTTCGATAGTAGATATGGATTAGTGAGTTTTCTTTGGTTAAAAGATGAGTGAAGAAGAATTGGAGAAAAATTAGGTGTGTCACACTAGGTTACGTTTTTAAAATAAATTTACTTCTACAACAGTTAGTGTTTTTATGTTCCCTAACTAAGGTACATTATCTTATTCATTTAGCGTTACTTTCATTGGCTATACTATTAAGTATATCGAATGCCATTTCTTTCTAATTTTACTTTTTATACTGTTCCCCGCTGGGACAGCGGCAAGTCTCCGGATTTACAACGATAAAATTAGGGGACCGATTCCCCTCAGTGGACACAGCAGATAGTCCAATGTGGCTTTGCTATAAGAAAAACAGCCACGCTTTTTATATTATACTTTATTATAGAGACTGTTTCGCATTGTTAGCTTAATATATGTACATGTATTTAGGACTAATAACCTAAATCTCCTAAGCTGTCCGAACCTTGTAAGATATTATTGGGATTACGGCCGAAAATATGAGTAGAAATATAGGAAAAATATGTTTAATTAGCCGTACTGATTACCAGATTGACCTTTTGTTTCATTCTAAGTACATATCTTGCTCGGAAGTTAATATGGATATTTATATATATATATATGTGTTTTTCTGTGATATTAGGACATCAGGATTTTACATAATGCCATAAAAATATGAGGCAAACCTCAATTTTTTTTTATCAGTGATTTACTTGCATCAGTAATTTTTCGTATTTCTATAACATCATAAAATTAACTCAAATTTTCATTAGATTAAATTTATTACGGATGTTGTTTAAACTTTTGTCTTGATGAAACAACATCAGGCTTATCGTAATTGTACTTTCAAATGTTAGGGCCACAATATTTTAAACTCGTAAAACACTTATTATAATGAGCACGTGGTGTTTGAAATACTTGCAGGCAGCACGGACGCTAGGAGGCGGTGCAAATGGTGCACTGCATAGTGGCCTTCCAAAAGTTCTATCGGTGCAATTTGGCAGAAAATTTCAATATTTTTATGATATCAGCCATTATAAAATACGTAATACATAATTAAAATATGGGATCCTTGAGAAGGTCTCTATCAAGTCTATATATGCAATTGTCTGTTTGTAGTAGTTTCAATGTTCGTAGTTTAATACATTACAGAATTGTTTTTATGACCAATTCCGTGCTTACGTTTTAGTTCATTATATTGTTTTTTTCTATTTCTTATAAATCTGAACTAAAATATAAGGATCCCCATTAAAAATGTCTGTGCCAGGGCCACAGAAAACCTAGCGCCAAGATTGCTTACCGGTTTAAGTGTTGAAAAATCGGGTACTTACCTGATATACGGTATCCATGCGCGAACATCTTCTCGAATCACTGCCCAAATGTATACCACTATAACACCAAGAAGTAAGAGCAGTGCCAAAGACAGCGGAATCCAACCAATTCTCTTGGAACCCCGTATGGTCATATCTGCTTAGGTATGAAAATAAATATATTTAAGATTGTGAAATAATTTCGGATGTTAACTAAACTCAGAGGAGAAATAAAACAAACAAAAAAAATCGTCTTGCACCGTGTGATGCCGACCTTTAAACTGGTACGCACTAGATATATATATATATATATATATTGCTCAGCTAATAGGCCGTCGTCAAACACTGAAGATAAAACTTAGTGATTGAGAAGTCTGCTATCTTGGGCTCTCTTTCATATGTACTTTGAATGTGTGAAAGCAAGCGATAAGCAAAACTGCAGTCTGTAATATTACGGTTCAAAGATTAAACTAAAACGACAAGAGAGTAGTGATATTTGTGGGAGTAGATACTTGGTCTCTCAGCGATAAATCTGAGGGCTTATAATGCTAAAAATCGGATTTCGATACTCGTGATGAGCACAGCACAGGTAGTCCACTGTGTCACTTAACAAAAAGCGAACGAATAAACAAACAAGAAGTAGGTACGATCAAATGATGAAAGCTGCTTGTAGTAAAATAATTCGTGTAATTGGACACTTGATTTTAACGTTCTTATTTTTAACGTTTCCTCAGCGGTAGGTTTACGGGCTTAGAACGATAAAATGATGAAAGCTGCTTGTAGTAAAATAATTCGTGTAATTGGACACTTGATTTTAACGTTCTTATTTTTAA